CACGCATCAATAAATCATCTCGTCACTTCTTCCCCTGTGAATTCTCGCCGCAGGCTCGTACTCGTGCTCCGTAACCCTGCAGCCGATGACGGACCGGCAGACCCGCGTGCTCAGCGCGTCCACGTCCGACCTGCTGGTGAGGGCGGGGCTGCAGGGCGGCGGCGTCTTCCCAGGGGAACAGGTTAGCGCCCGGCTGCCCATCGAGCCGGGCCTCTACTCCGACCAGACCGAGCTGCTGCTCACCAACCTCCACCCGTCGGCGGAGCTCACAGTGTACGGCCCCGCGGCCGCCCTGTCGACCACCGAGGTCAGGCTTCCAGGAGAGCGTCCAAACGAATGTCCCGAAGCACCAGAGTAACACACCTCTCCGCCTTTCTTAGGTGGTGTCTGCTTCTGCCAACATCGCCGTCCAAGAGAAGGAGGTGCACCAGGGCTTCCCCAGTTTCTCAAAGTACACCATCAGCGCCGTGGACCCTCAGGCTGCGGTCTCCACCTCCGTCTCCATCAGCTGCTCCTCCAGCGGGCAGAGCCTCGTCGTCCCGGTCGCTTTGATCCAAGTGGCCGAACCCCGCGCCGCCAAGCTCGGTCAGGAACCCCGTCACGCTCATACAGCATTGACGATATGATTAAAGATGATACAAACCGAATAAATTTAAATTAAGTCTGTCAATTAATTGAATAAAAAGTGGTCGCCTTAAAGGTACAGGACAAGGAACAGAGAGGAACCTGCTTTTTGTAGCGATGCTTTGCAGAGGTTTTGTCAGCTTATTATCCGCCCCCCCCTCCTCTCTGCAGCTCTTTCTCCAGTTGTTTACGCTGAGGGGGGCCACTCCCTGCACAGCTTCATAACCTCCTACCAGATGATGTTCTTCACCTTGTTCGCTCTGCTGGCTGCCACAGCCATCGTCATCATCGGTGGGTCATTCGCTAATGGATGAAGGAAGTGCTAATACAGCGTTGTCATAGCGATGACAAATGAAACAAACGCTTTGAGAGTGTGTGTTTTGGTCCCTTTCTAAATCAACGTCGGAGTTTTTAATACCGAGCTCTTGAGATGTGTTTTCCTTGTCTCCTGCAGTCGTCCACTCAGTGTTCAGCCCGAGGGAGCCGGCGTACCACCCGGCCTTCATGCAGAGGACACCACCTCCCGTCTTAGGTAGGACTCTGACTAAAGGAACGACTGAATAAAGACCAAGTCAGGACCATTTTTTTTTTTGCTAATGAAGTTATTTAGTGAATGTCTGATATCAAAATCTACAGCGGGTGTTTGGCGGAGATCTACGTCACCGAGGCCAACCCGGGCCGCACCTCCACCTATTTCTAGTTAATGTTGTTGTGTCTCGACTCTTTTCCAGGTCTGAACTCTCCGGTGATGAATTCCTTCAACCGCACGATACCGAGGACGGACCCAAACAGCAGCCCCAGGTCGCGCCTCTACTCTCCAGACTACAAGTCCTGATGGAGCTCTGCGCCGGGTCTCTGTTCTTCAGAAGCAGAGACCCGCGGGCCATTCATGCATATCGAACGTGCCTCTGACGCCGCGGGACCTGACCGCTAAATGTCAGCCTCGCCGAGTCGTGCTCTCACCCCGGTCCGTCTTCCGAAGAGAGATACTCACAGGGCTATTCCCTCGTTGTGTGGAAACCGATTTATAAATGTGTGTTTTTGTTGTGGTTTTCCATAGAAATGGCTTTTATACGAGACTGACATATTTTGGTTTTTATTTTCGGGTAAAAAATACCACGAGTTTGTGCTTTAACCAACGTTGCTTTTTGTGTTGATTTGCTACTTACTGTCCGTGATTTGAAGTTTGGTACTTCAGGAGGAACCTTGTCCATGAATGACACAAAACATTCACTTGAAAGTGTTTTTTTTTTTTTTATGAGCAGAAAACACGCTCTGTTTCGTTTGTAGCCGACACCTTTTGTGAAATGAAACCGTCCTCCTTGTATATGAGGAACCCTTCAAATGTGCACAAAGCTAACTGAGAAAAGGTGTGGCTTGTTCTTGTCCAGGGCATTTAATCACTTAACATTACTGTTTAGTTTGAGCCACGACGCGTGCAGCTAGTGTGATTCATTAATGTGAAACAGTTGGGGAATGTGAACCATTATTCAGCTTTTATCCCGGCAGAAGTCATCAAATGTGACCTGGTGACCTTTCGGAAAATGTATGCTTTGTTTTTTTTAACCTGAACTCCGGGAGGAGACTCGTGTTGCACTGCAGAGACATCAGTGTGATATTTTTGTATTGAACAAAGAATAGTATTTATGTTAGCTAGTGGAATTCAGTTTTACTGTGAGACGAGTGTGTGTGTGTGTGTGTGTGTGATGATCAAATGGTTTCATCGTTCTCTTGTGTTTTTCATGCCTTTCCATCCGACCTGAGCAGCTTCAGCACCACTCTGTCTGCTTGTGTGCAGATGCTTTCGCCTTTTGCCAATTAAAGTTTCTTACTTTTCACGTTCAGCACCTCGTAGTTCTTCACAACACTTGAGGGACAAGGAGTCTTCCTGCAGCCAGACAGGAAGCATATTTCTTTATCCTGAATAACTGAAGTACAGATTGTCGATCCAGTCTGAATTAAATGCTGTAGCTTCTCTTCTACTTGGAACAGTGAATCCGTCAAACGCACCCAACCTGCAAGTTTCCTCCACAGACGTCCCAATAATTCATTTTCCTACATCAGTGCCGCGTCACTTATCTCGTCTTGATACGCTTTATTTTCCCTACTTGTTGCCTTTTTATTGACAGTTAATCTATTCGTTGTTTTTGGGGAAATCACAAGTTTCACCTTTTTTTTATTGTTACTGAAATCCCGCTCGCCACAGTCTGACCTGGTGACACAAACGGGATTCTCCGGGTCCCTGAGGATGAGTAAAGGTCTGCGACATCTGATCAAATATCTCCCATCTGTCTGTGCCCCCGCCCCCCCCCTCCCCGGGCTCATTTGTATGTCCTCAGCAGCCACACGCTGGCAGACAGACGGGCTCCAGCGACGCACCGCGGGGTCCTTTGTCGAGCAGCAGAACGTGAGGTGTGTGTGTGTGTGAGATCCCGGGCGTCCTTAACGATGGGCGGGACAAAGTGATGTTAACCGCTGCGTTGTGTGAACCAACAGGCCGCCTGATTGGCCCATCCGACGCCGCAGGTGCTCTTTGCTTTAAAAGTGGAAATAACCCCCCCCGCCCCCTTTTTTTTTTTAAATCACTCCCATTAAATGTTAGTGGGGGGTTCGCAGCGTGCGCGTACATCTATAGCTCATTAAAGCGGCTGTCCGCGTTAAGATAAAATGATACTCAATTTATTCTCCATTATGGGACGGCAGTTGCAGAAACCCCCCCCCACCTGTCAGCCTGTCGGGCTGGGAGAAGTCCTGGCTGTTCCAGATGACTTACCGGGCTGTCAGGGGAGGGGGGGGGGGGGTCGCTGAACGAGACCTGAGGAGAATGGCAAAGCTGCTCTCCTTTAGGATGGTGTGAAACCCCCCCCCCACACACACACACACCTCCCTATGGAAGCTCCACACTTGCAGAAAACCAACCTATTTTGTTTTTGTATTCCTGACTTTATATAACTTGATATCCGATAAAAGGAGCAAAATGCTTCATTGTCTGCAGATCACACAAACCACACGTCAAAAAACCAAAGGGTTTTCCTTTCACTCTGCTGGTAAAACGATCGGTCGGTGGTTTCCTCCATCAGTGCTGATCAAGAGAGCTTCCGTGTGCGTGTGACCGGCCAGCCAAGGGAAGAAGGGAAAGATCCCAACAGCAAAACAACAAGCTGCACTATTGGCTGCATGGCTGCTGGCGTTACTCATCCAGAGGTCCTGAGCGCTGCGATGACTTGCTGGTTTGTATGACTGATGGAGCTGCATGGTGGATACAGGTGCACAGATGTTAAAGGAGGGGGGTGCCGCTGCGAGCTCGGAGTACAAACCACAGCCACGTTGTTGTTTATCTTCACAATGACAGTTGTGCGAGTGGCTTTGGCCCATCAGGAGGGGACGCGTTGATGTGGATGAATGGCTGGAAGGGACCATGTTGAGAAGGTACATCGTAAAGTCCTGTGAATCACAAAGTAGCCCCGCCCGAAGGAGTACTCGGCTGTACGGCCTACGGGACGAAACCCTAACTCTATCCCATCAAACTGTTAACGTGCGATGTTTAAATCATTGGGGCCTCGGGTAAGATTCTCAACCTAGAATTGCTCCTCGTGGTTGTGTGAATCAGTTTAGATCCAGATAGTCCGGGGGGCCCTTCGCGTGGCAACCTGTGACATCATGGTTATAAATGTGTGTTCGCACGTTCTAAAATCCTGCTCAGCTTTGGTACATTTAGCATTTTCATATGCAAAAAAAAAAGCACGACAATTATGTCGCTTTTTCAAACATTTAAATATAAATGTGTGCGTGTGCTTTGATAATAACCAAGCCAGACACGTGGAGCGATCACATGACACTGAGGAAAAAGTCCTAAACATTCTTACCGTCAGCTGACCAAGAGGAGCAGATGTAATCACCATGAAACTTTAGCATCACCCTCTGCCATCACAGGGCGGTGCAGTTTGCTCTCTCATGCGCCACCCTCATCTCCTCCCGCCGCACGTGCAGATCAGGGAAGTCTAACGCGCATTTATTTGGATCATTTCCCCGGAGGGAGCTTTACAGCGACGCACACACACACACACACACACACACACACACACACACACACACACACACACACACACACACACACTCCTGCAGAGTTGTTGGGCCACAGCGTTACGCGCGGGCGAACTACACAGAGTTGTGTGCGCGTGTGACTCCAAATCCACACGTTCTCCTTCGACGTGAGAAAAGATGGAAAACACGCACGCGCGCGCTCTGGATCCCGCCCCCTCGCTCCGCCGCAAGGCGACCTGCGGATTCGTAAAACTTGTAAGCCCCGCCCACTCTGACAGCCAGCGTCTGTTTACGAAAAGTCACGGGGAGCAGCGTGGAGCTAAAGGTGAGGCGCGGGGCCGGCGGAGAGTCGCGCCGCTGCGGTCCCCACAACGTCACTTTAAAAAAAAAAAAAATCGAATCCACGTCTTTGATTCGACCACGTCCGCGTCGGTTTTGTTGGGTTCGCTTCTGCACGCGGTGGGACTATTTCTGCGGGCGGGTGGTCACACACACACACACACGCCGGGTTCAACACGATGGCGAGGCGTAAGAGGCGCAACGCGCGCAAGTGTTGCGCTTAAAAAAAAGAAAAAAAAAGAAACAACCTCATCTAGCGCGGAACGACATGGAAAGCAGCGCCGCCGCCGAGAACCCCTCCAGGGCCGTGGAGTACTTGAAGGAGCTCAACAGGATCATCGAGACCCAGCAGGAGCTGCTGGAGAGGCAGCGGGGACGGATCGAGGAGCTGGAGCAGCAGGTGATCGATCTGTGCGCGGAGAACGCCCGCCTGAAGGAGCGGTACCAGCGGCACCTGGCGACCTGCGGGCTGCTGCAGGGCACCAGCAGCCTCGTAAAGGCGCACGTCGCCCGGGACAAGTAAGACGTCACCTCCCCTCGTTCTTAAAGTCGAGTAATCTCTTGAACTAGGTGCACTTGGTTGTAAGTAATCGTTGCTAAACGAGACCCGCGGTTGCCTCCTTCTGCTCCATGGACTGTGTCATCAGACGGATTTCTTCTGGTTTGTGATGGTAAACGGATTTTACGCGCAGAAACATGGGGTTCGCCGCAAATCTCCGAGCCTTTTTGGATCATATCTGGAAACGTGCAGATAGTTTCACCATATCACCGAGCACCACCGCGACGGATGACGGTCAATGCAGTTTTTTTATCCAGCAGATTTATCTCCTTTCATGTTGCCCTTTTGAGAGCTGATATGCTGTAAAGCACCAATTTAAACTATTTCAAACATTTTCGGATCATTCTGCTTCTAATTATTCTCATTAATGTTATTTGACTTCTAAAGTCTGACATGTTCATTTGCTGTTCATTAGCGGTCATGAAAGAGGATTCCATGTGCGTGGACAGGCACATTAATCCTAGATATATTATGGAATGAAATAGCCACAACTCCTGAGGTAAAAAAAAAGGGCAAAGCCTCGGGATGGACCCGTTATGCAAGTATGCAAGTATGTTTTCGGGCAGGCCCTATCGGCCGCCAGTAGGTTAAGCCCGGAGCAGATGTGCAGGAGCATCAGGAAGGCTAAAGGCCCTGATAGTACAGGATTACCCTCCTCGCATAGTTGTGTGGTGAAGTTCACGCTGTTGGCTCGCCATGCAAAACGCTGCAGACCTTCTGCAGATTCATGTGCTGGTGCTTGACCTTTGTGCCCTCCGGGGCGCGTTGGTGTCACCAAGATCAGCGGCAGCAAATCAATACCGATGAGTCATGGACTGTGTGTCTTTGCTGGCTTATACAACCAGACCCATGGGATTAGGACGTGCTGTAACACTGACCTTTTTTTTTTTTTTTTTCTTTAGCTTGTCCTGTTTTTTTTGGCCCCTTCATAAATCTCTCCCTCTCTCGGGCACTGCGGAGTATTCTGTGTAATTTCACTGGAAAATCAGTCCGGCAGCACGGCTCGGCGCGGTCACAGTGGGCGAGCACTATCCCAGCCCGGCTCTGATGGACGTGCACGGAGGTTTTGGAGAGGCGCCTGTGATTCCGTGATGAAATATGACAGCTGTTAATACTGTAAAGTGTGGTTTACGGAGGATACGGGATTAAAAAACGTCATTTAAGTGCAGCGAGCAATTTATGGATTGCAGGGGTTTAGAAGCGGGGCTGATCCTGAGATGCGGTCCTTCTAGAATGGAGAGAAGGGAATTCAAATAGTGCATTATTGGAAATTAACAGCTCTGACGTCTCTTTATTTCCTATTTTCTGCCTGATGTTGAGGTCAGGGACACAGTCAACAGCCGACCAGAGAGACTCTTGATGTCTGTTTCCTAACGTTGCCTCTGGAGTCGCGAGGCCTGAACCTCATCCTCTGTTCCTGGCAAATGTTAGCGCGCTAGGCTACGATGCTCGACATGGTAATGTAATGACATTCTCAAGAAGTCATTTATGAGTGGATTTGAGTTTTTTTATTTGGGACGAGGAACTAAGCATGGAGAGAATGCAGTAAAGTCTCATTCATGTGTGTTTTTTAAAATCCTAGCACACAGTATTTTGCTGAAAAAAGTAGTAAATAATACTCTGATTTAAAAAAATAGTCCTAGAATAGATTGTTTAATGATGAATCCCAGCATAGTTAGTCAAAGAAAACCAAAAGGTCCTTCTGTTGTTGTTGCAATCCCAGCATAGTTCCTCAAACACCCGTCACACCAGTTTGAGTCCGTGGGGACGGTCACGTAGTTCTGCCCGTGGCCCCTGAGTGGCCCTTTTCGGCCCTTCAGGATTCATGCTGGTTTCCTCTCTAACGCTGTTTGTTCGGGCTGCCAGTTCTTCGCGGTGCACAAGTCTGCGATGAATTGACTTCTCACGAGCAAAACGCACGCACAATGTGGACACGCTGCAAAAAGCCAAACCACCGAGCCGACCACGCGAGTGCTTTCTCTTCCCTCGCCCACGTTTGGCATTCAAACCTGGTCCCGTGGCCCAGATATCCGACCCCGGAGAGATGACCATCAGCTGATGCGGCGCATTCTGCGCGGCTTTGTTTCTAAATATGCACCGTAGAAGACCGTCTCCCGTCTCGAATGAGCTCTGGTGTCAGATGTGAGGAGTTGATTAGATCTGAGCACGTGGACGTGGACGTGTTGTCTGCGATGAGCGATCAAATATTGATTTGAACAACGTGACAAAATCGAGTTGTTGATTCTTGACGCGACACCAACAAACGCGTGAAGAAACCCGCAAGAGGTGCTTCCATTCGTTGCTCTTATTCAGCTGCTTCTGAAGTGTAATTGACGCTAAACACCTGCAGTTGAGCGGTTTGACGAGTTTAAGCAGCTGCAGGATTATGCAAATGGGAGATTTTGATGGAAGATGAGTGCTGGAAAAACATGTGTTTTGGTTTCGTTCCAAGCAGCGATCTGATAAAGTGGGTTTAGTGGTTTTTTTATTCCTGTTTATTTGCTGTTTTTGGTTTCACTTCCATCAGAAGTGGAATAAATTGCGTTTGGAGGGTTTCATTTTTTTATTGTTTTGCTTTACGGCAAAATGTAACATTGAAAATCATTGTTTTCTGCAGCCCCCTCCTCCCTTAAAGGTGTAGCAATTTGTTCTAATTCTATGCAGTTACATGTTTAATGTCATTGATTTCTATTTTCTGTACCCGTGTGTGACGATACGACCACAGCGATCTAGAGTCTCATTCTTGGCTTCTTCTTCTGCGCTTTGCTGGACGGCCCTGGAGTCGAGTTCATAAAGGGTTAACCTTGAGCCCGCGTGATGCCCTCGGCGGGTCCCCCGGGGGGCCCCCTCGGCACGGTAAGAACAGCACGATGGAGAAAGCCGCTTCTTGTGGCCGCCGGCGTCCACTCGTTCACCCGACAATCTGCTGAACAATCAGTGTGCCAAACCCAAATTTACGACCACACGAGCGCCCTCTCTCCAGCACACCCCCCCCTAATGAAATACCCCAGCGAGATTAATGTCCACACAGGGACGATTTGCATTCAGCCCCACCGATAAATCTCAAGCCACGGCCGGAGATAATTTGCAACTCGCACTCATAATCAACCGCAGGCTGCGTTCGTGTGTTTTGGGCCTTCCGTCCTACTGCGGTGATGGCGGAGGAAAAAACGCCGACGGGTCCCCTCGCGTCGGGCCGATGGGGCCGGACTGGAGGTCGGTTTGCGTCCCGTGTGACGCTGAGGACTTTTAAGAGGCACCGTGTCCTCAGTCTGCTGGTGCTGATGGAGGCGTTCCGCGCGATCGCTAATGCGCTGCTGCGTTGCTACCAAATGTTAGCATGTCATCGCGTTATGTTACCGCGAAACGTTCAGCCTGTTGTTTGGCGTAATTGAGTTTGATCTCAGAAAAGAAGCAACGGTAACTTTCATCGATACTTCCAAGACTCCCCAACTTGTTCTCAGCTTTGCTATATTTGTGAAGAGGATCCAATACTGTTTTGGTTCTTTGCTCTGTTGATTTCAAGAAGAGTGTCCAAACCTCAATCCCTTGTTTATCATCACAATCCGATCAACACTTAAATCAGCACACTTTCTCGAGGCCAAAGTACGGACGACGGTTGGTTCTTTATTTCTTCGATACTTGAACCAATTATCCGCCTCTCGGCTGTCAAAACCGGCGGACGCAGCAGCTAAATCGAAGGCAATTTGTGGCCTGGTACCCGTGGAGAGCAGTTTGAAAGGCTGCCACTAGTTTTCTCCCGTGTGTGTGTTTGTGTGTGAGTCAACAGCTGACCACAGGTACTGCTCACGCATCACGTTACTCCTTCACAGCCGGCCGGGCGTGACAGCAAACCTTTGTGCTGGTTTGGTCCGTGGATTCCCCCTTTTCAAGCCTCGAGGTTCGTCATCTCAAGGAGTGGCTGCATATAACATTCGGCACGTGTTTAAGGGACCAAATGGTTAAAACACAGACAACTCCATGGTGGAGACCTGTCAATCACAATGAAGCCCCGCCCCCTAAAGCACTCTAAATGGACTACTAAATAAAACCGTTTGGGTGAAGGCTTCAAACTACAGATTGAGAACCAGAAGTCCTGTTCACAACGTTTCCAGGTGTCCGAAGACGTGTTTCCACTCCAGCTGAGCTCCGATGTTCGTGTTCGTAACCATGGAGATTCTGAGGGCCGATCTAAATCCGAGCAATATGTTCAGGAATGTTGCCATGTTGTTTTCTTGTAGGTGAGTGTGGGGTAACGTGCTTGAGGTTAGAAAAAAACGTGGAGTCCACCCTCCTTAAAGGTCCAGAACCTCTGCTGGTGCTCACTCCTTCGAGATGCATAACTTGACAGCAGCATGAGAAGCGAACCGCTTTAGAGGACTGGACCGACTCCTTAGATCTGCTTAGCCAGACACTTCTCTGCCTGTAATTAGCTGCTGATTAATACAGATCATTTGGTAATCTGAGTGATACAAGTATGCGGTGCAGACGCGTGATGAGTGCCCTTCATTAACGCGCTGGACTGAGGAGGAAAAGTCCTGAAACAAGGGAAGACGGCATGAAGACGCGTGCACTTCATCAGAGGAGCAAAACTCTGCATAGAAACTAACCCGATCTCGTCTGCAGGGTTCTTCTGGAGGAAAATGGATCCAATAAAGTACTGACGAGTCACAGAATTACAAGAAGAGCGTCTCTGTTTTCAGTGGAAAGTTCCGTAGATCCAGTCTTACTTTGGATGTGATTTATTATTTTTCATTACAGCTTGTGAGGGCTTGTTTGCCGCGGCTGGAGGCGTGAACCGTCAAAGCAGTTCAGTCCAGGAAGCTGCAGAGTTCATAATGTAATTCCTTAGCTTCACATTAGATGGGAAGCTTGGGTTCAAGGTCTCGATTTCAAAGTCGGAGGATACGAAATGTACAAAATAAATGGAAATGAGACACGTGTAACATGGTGATGATTT